ACATTTGAAGCATAATACTGAAGAGCTTTAGACCTCAAGTACTGACAGAGCATTGAACCTTAAGTATTGACAGAGCTATGAACCTCAATGATATAGCTTTGAACATTAAATAACGAAATAGAAATTTACTGAACCTGGGTACTATAAACCTTCAGTGTTCGACTTTAAATAATAAGTACTAAAAGAACTTTACTAGACCTTAAGTACCGACAGAGTTTACGACGGACGTCGTTAAATGTGGCATGGTTAAATTAGTTTTGTTTTTAGATCTCAACTCTTTCCCCTTGTATTTGTTTTACACATAAGTCATAGTTAGATAAAAATCTAAGGAAACCTAATTGAAATATGAATGGTTAGCCCTGATATGTTTAATATATGTTTTTCGGGATCTTCACAGGGAATATAGGCTCATATTCCCTCTCAGTGTTTTATATCCCTGAGTCGCCAGGCGAAGGGGATATAGGGCATTGACAGGGAATATGAGCCCATATCCCCTGTGAATCCAGAATAACAATTATATTATACTGGAGTGTCCTGATTTCAACATTATATACCATTCTGATCTTTGTTTTGTTCACAGGGAATATCCCCTGGCAAGGCAACCAATCAAATTGTATTATTAACCCAGATATTTCCCTCCAGTAGAATATAAATATATATCTGATGTTGTGCTTGATGTTTATATGTATTTATTTCTGTGTTTGAAAACACTGAGATGAAAGGACCGAAGAATGAAGAATAATTGCACAATCCATGCAAAGTTGTATGCATTCAAAGTAAGTGTTCGAAGGTTCAAGAAGGAAAAGCAAGATGGTGTCAATAAAAAGCATTTTGCATCATAATACATAAAGACTATTCAAACGTTATCAATCTGTTCCTTTATACAGGTTTTGAATATCATATAGCCTTCCAATTTTTCATTTTTGTTTCATTTTGTCAACAGGGTATATGTATCAAAGAGATAGTAAAACACATACATAGCCTACCATTATAGATCTGAGTTATGCCGCTTTGCCCGACGCATATCACTTTAGAAAATCACACAATTTTTTTTTATTTTCGCCGCCTCAAAATATCTTGACAAAACTAAGATGAATGTTAGAAAATGTTACAATATTTCTCCAGAAGGATGCTTCTCTTTGCAGCATAGGAAAACTTCAAAAATTTAAACCAATCACGCGCAAATGTAAAAAAAGTTGAGGACAATTTTCTATTGGAATAACCATGAGTAACACAACGGGTGCCACATGTGGAGCAGGATCTGCTTACCCTTTTTTATGAAGTTCGTGTTTCTCAAGCATTAGTTTAATGTAGTGTTTTATACTTTTATTGTATTTTTGATTTTTGGTATGATCATGTCACTCTTCGACTCATGAGTGTTGTTTCTCCGTTTGGTATATACAGCCTAGCTTGAATCGCAATACACAGCAAATGATCAGTCAATCTTCGACTCATGAGTGTTGTTTCTCCGTTTGGTATCTTCAGCCTAGTTTGGATCACAATACACAGCAAATGATCAGTCAATCTTCGACTCATGAGTGTTGTTTCTTCGTTTGGTATCTTCAGCCTAGTTTGGATCACAATACACAGCAAATGATCAGTCACTCTTCGACTCATGAGTGTTGTTTCTCCGTTTTGTATCTAAACAACGGTTTTAGTCTAGCTTGAATCGCAATACACAGCAAATAATCAGTCACTCTTCGACTCATGAGTGTTGTTTCTCCGTTTGGTATCTACAGCCTAGCTTGGATCGCAATACACAGCAAATGATCAGTCAATCTTCGACTCATGAGTGTTGTTTCTTCGTTTGGTATCTTCAGCCTAGTTTGGATCACAATACACAGCAAATGATTAGTCAATCTTCGACTCATGAGTGTTGTTTCTCCGTTTGGTATCTACAGCCTAGGTTGAATCGCAATACACAGCAAATGATCAGTTTAGATTTTTAATAAGAAAAAAAGCAATTTTCGATGCAGGAATGTAATTCATTTGTGAAACTTTTTATCTAAATATGGAAAATTATTTGACTGTTAATTATCTAATGGATTATACAAATATAAAATACATGTATGTTTTATTGTTTTTTTTTTTTTTTTTTTTTTTTAAATTTTGCTCTATAAAGGGAGATAACGCAGATAGTTTTATTTTACAAAAGATAAATTTATCTTTTATGTTACCTAGGAGAAATAAAGTAAACTGATCCCTTTTTTTTTATTTTGTTCTGTTATCAGCCAATTATTGTACAAATAACAGGTACACACACAAATGTTTGCTTTATTTGTACTACTCCGCTTCCATATTGAGTAAATAGTAATGAGAAGATTTCTTTTTGTGTGACATCATTTTGAGATCCTCCTCGCAGTCGGCGTTTAACTGTTTAAACTATGTCAATTTCTTTGAAAAATCAGAGATATCTATTTGGATTTAAAAAACTAAACCAGTGACGGGTGTAAATTGCAGGATGAAAACAATGCATGTAAATTGTCGGAAATAAACAAATTATTTGTACTCACTACGAAACAAGAGAGAAGCTCGGCGAGCCTCGCTTTTCGACCTGTTTCTAAAGCTTGTGCAAATAGATTTGATATTTTCCGACAATGTACATATCAATATATATATGAAAATATTTTGTGAGAGCTATTATCTTATAACAAAAAAAATCTTTCCTTTCACACAAAGCTTTTCCCTGCATACTCCATGAGATTACTATCATATTTGTGTAACAGTGGATTCAGATAAATCCTTACAAATTGTATCAATTTTTCACATGTAGACCGAAAACAACCTGAACAAAGTCTGAACTGTACCTTTTATTTAATTTTTGAAAATAGCACCATATCAAATACATTTTTAAAAAGTATTGAAAAATTCTATTATTTTTTTGTTTATATCTCCATACTACATCGATTGTTTTTCTGACTTCCGGTTTTGTGCAACAAAGAGAAAGTTAACTGTGGCTTTATACATGTAACTGTATGATAAAGTGATCTTATTTAAAATAAAAATTTTAAAAAACTTCCTTAAGAAATTTCTGTAAAATTTACCAACCGTGTTAAGTGTTTTGAATAGTATCTATTGGCGTGTCCCGGAAACACAAGCATGCGAAAGTTGGGAGGACATATTAATGGGTTTTTAAATAGCCTTCTAAATGCTGCATATTATGATTGTTAATTTCCGGTATAATATTATTTTAAAATTGCATTTAAGATCAAAACGATGGGGTCATCACGTGCGGATATTCATTCAAACATTTAAATTGCTTTTAATATCTTCCTCAATTTTTGAATAACATTGTTTTGTTTTCACATAAGTTTTGAACGTATTCCTTTATTAGGTAGGTCCATGGTGACATGCGTGAGGGTCTGGATGGGCTTTACAGAAAAGAGAACAATGGGTAACAAAATAAAGAATAGAGAAAAATATGCCAAAAAATAAAGAAAAGGGAATTATGGGGTTTAATAATGGGGTTTTTAAATATAAAGAATAGAGAAGTATTAATAGCTTGAAAAAAGAAAGAATACAGCATTGAGGGACCCCAATGCAGACCCTCATGCGTATTCCACTAGCATACCTGCAAGGTACCAGCCAACACAAGCCAACACGATAGGTGGAGTCATGCACCGATTAATTCATATCGTAGATTTGTCAATTTGTGATGGTAATTGAATAGTTTTCGGAGAAATCACGAAAACCATCTCTGCGTATAACTGTTATACATAAGAAGGATATATGATATATTAAAGTTAACTTGTTGTTTGATAATCGTCCAGCGGCACATATTCCATGTTTCTTAAGGACAAGAGTAAAACATCGTTGTAACTATTTAAAAAGAGTTTGAAATGTCGGTGGACAAGGATAAAGGGAGACTGATTTATATGAGCTCTTATTGTTTCCAAATCCTTGTATTTCTTGTATAATTGGAATTTGCGCACTTTTGAAAAATAAAATAATGTTTAAACTAAAGGGCTGAAATTTAATAGGTTCAAATATTTAGCCAATGAATCAATAATTGCATGTAGTTTAAAACATTTGGCCAATGAATCAATAATTACATGTAGGTTAAAACATTTGACCAATGAATCAAGAATTACATTTAGTTTAAACAATTTGTTTTTTTCAAAAGTACACAAATGCAAAGAATCATAGGAATTCGGAAACGAGACAATCAACTACATTTATAGACCCATCAGATGCTAGCCAATCAACAATCGGCAATCCTCGGGTGACTCCGCTACTCTTCTTCTATCCTTAGATGAGGTACAGAATCGGCCGAGTTGTGACGAATGAGCCAATCAATATACTTTAGAATAACATTCTTCCAATGAGGTAACTATCCCCTAGAGCCACTACCAGGACATAAACTACTATAGTTCATCGTACGGCCTTCAACAATGAGCAAAACCCACAACGTATAGGAGAGAAAACAGACATTCTACATAACAATCCTGGTTGTATATATACATGTAAGGAAGTCTGGTGAAGCAGTCGTAAATTAGACTATTTATGCATAGGTAACGATCATATATCAAAAATTCTCTAGCTACATTGTAAATATAAACGGATCCCGCTAACATGTTTAACCCCGCCACATTCTGTATGTATGTGCCTGTCCCAAGTCAGGAGCCTGTAATTCAGTGGTTGTCGTTTGTTTATGTGTTACATATTTGTTTTTTGTTCATTTTTGTACATAAATTAGGCCGTTAGTTTTCTCGTTTGAATTGTTCTACATTGTCATTTCGGGGCCTTTTATAGCTGACTGTGCGGTATGGGCTTTGCTCATTGTTGAAGACCATACAGTGACCTATAGTTGTTAATTTCTGTGTCATTTGGTCTCTTGTGGAGAGTTGTCTCATTTGCAATCATACCACATCTTCTTTTTTATATCGGCATGACAAAAAAATAAACAATTAATATCAGGAAAACCAACTAACGCCCTGATTTAAACTATGTACATATGCATTAAGAGGAAGTAAAATAATAAGGAATTAATTGATCCTTACCATATAGTAAACAACTTTTATCCATCAGCTGTGCGTTCTTCCCAAACGTGTAACATGGTACTAGATAGGTCCGGATACTAAGCCCAATATTCCCAAAGCACTCAATATAACTGTACTTCCAGTCTGATGACATTTGTTGAACAGTTCTTTGACCAAATAGAAACCGAATGTCTATTGAGACATTTTTTTCTAAATTTAACCGGTTTTACAGGTGAATCAAAATATAACAATTAACAATAATTATTAAACCTTGAGATCGTTTATCATCGCTAATACTATAACACATGAATGCTCATATATCTAAATAAATTACCCAATGACCAGGTCATCACGGTGGTTAAATTGTTTGCTTGGAGGCATTAAAGTTTCATAATCATATCTACAAATAGAAGAATAACGTATACAACCTATTTACATTTCAGAGAAAGAAAATCGACCTATAAAATACTGTATACAAAAGTCGTATGAATAAATCAATAGCTCTACTATACTTAAAGTATGTATGTCATATCTAATACCAGTACTCTATATGGAAATTGAATGTGTTATTGACCATGCATGGTTGCTTGTCAATGTCCATCAGTTTATCCTATGTTGATGATGCGGTTCCCTTTTATTGTATACATTGAAATGTATAATAACAGTCTCTGACCTTCTGATGGGGGTAATTTGAACTAAGACAGAATTATTAGTAAATATAACAGATATATGGATAATTAATAAGCAGAGAAAAGATAGAAGACAGAAAAATGAATTTAATTGTTGGTCTTCAAACCGGTGGGGGGAGGGGGGAGGGATTGTCGATTGATGGATTACTGACTGTCAAGCCATATATTACATGATAATAAAGGTGAACGACAAAGCAACATGAAGATAGAGACGTTGGGGTGTGGAGATAATTCCCAATACAACAACAAAATCAGAAGAATGATGGCGTGTTAAGAATATAGATTAGCCCTAATTCAAACAGCCCTTGGACATAGTAGTGTTATATCTCCCTAGGTATAGCAATTGGTCTTATTTTCTCCTTCTGGAGTGTATAAATTTCTCTGTAAATGGAGTCCACTTGACTGTATGATGTACATGTATGAATATGCCACGAGTTAGGAACTTTCCAAGCTCTCTGAATGCTAGAACTCTAGAAACAACTTTTTCGGGGGACTGTAGGTTGCCTGTTGCATAGCCTAATTACTGCCCTATTCACCATTCCCTGATTTGTCAAAGTTTCCGATCCTCATCCCGACTTAGCCTACTTTACAGAGCCTATTAGATTTAAAGATATGTTTATGTGCGAAATATTTGCCACTGAACGTTTATAAGACAAACAACAATCAATTGTACAATTATAACAATTGTCTCATTGGTTTGAGAACTTCATTTAATATCGTTTTATACACACGTGGGCAATTTCGACACACAATGGATACCATTTGGACTCGACTCTTGATCAACTTCATATAAATTGTTCTGAACGGTTTTGCGTGAAAGTATATTGACAAACGAAAATAATTGGCGAGATAAAATATTGATACATTTTTTTGTCTTCATTTCACTTCTTGTATGAGCTCAGTACTTCTATACAAATGCCAATATATCATAAGAGAACCATAAATGAAGCTGACGATTATGAAGAAGTCGACATGCCATTAAAATTTGGAACTCCAAATAGCTTTCAAAACATCATCTCGGTTCTCGAGTTGCACAAAAGTGTTATCAAAATGTAAGTGTGTAACAGTATATCTTTATTATTATACCCTAGTACTCTATGGATCCACATTGGTATCATAGTAAGTTTATTTGGATCATAAAACAACTGTATAACATGAGGGTACCCAAATTGCACCTATTTTGACAGTTTTTTCACCTACTTTTATTTATGATCCAGACAAAAGTTTCCATGCTGTGAGTGTGTTCATTTTGTAGATGTATCATTATTTACGATATAGTTCCACCAATTTAATTTTGAATCCATATTGTATAAAGTTTGTTCTTATGTTGTGCTGTAACAACACTGTCCCAGTTAGAGAGAAGGTTGAGCTTCTACAAAATATTCTTAATCCCGTCACATTTTTTATGTGCCTATCCAAAATCAAGAGCCTTTTATTCAGTGGTTTTCGATGGTTGACACATGGTAACATTTGGGAAATTTAGACTGACGGCGATCTTAATTCCAGTCCCAGGTTTTTTTTATACTGCACATGCCCTTCCATAACCTGGAAAATTCAGCAGTTAAATCACAATTGTATAGATACGATACGATAGAGGTATTAAAAGTGGAGTGAAAACATTTGCAATGTATGTGCAATCGAGTGCGCACACAAAATAAGCATATCCTGCTGTGCATGATTCGGCATTACTTTGATTCGAATTCTGTAATGAAGGTAAATCCAGTAAAACGTTTCAGGCGCACCATATGTATAAAGTGTTAATTACATTAATTTGCAGGACTTAGTATATTGTTCTGTGTATTATCGTTTCGAGGATACATGAAATATTTGCCACTGGACGTTAATCAGCATTGTCAATTATATAAATCAATTTATTTGTGATTGTATCAATGTTCACTACTAATATCAAAGTAGTGCACGTGTCATGGTAGATCCGTGTTAATCAGCATTGTCAATTATATAATTTTGTGATGGTATCAATGTTCACTACTAATATCAAAGTGACGCTTTAATCGAAAAAGTTATAAAGGCCAAATAAAGTTTGAAGTGGAAGAGCATTGCGTATACCCAACATTCCGAAATAAATGATATAGCACTGACATTAGAGTATTTCCAAACTACTTCGGCTTTAATATTGATTCACTTATAGGGTCTTTGCATCGGAATTAAACATATTTATTCTAAAACCAGTTGTTTGCATGACACGGGTTATGTTCTTCTCATATATTTTATGACGGTATAATACTAAACCCCTAACAGGAGGGATTGTGCCTGATATTCATATGATGAAGACATAATATTTCAATCAGTTTAATTGAGGTCTGGAGCTGGCATGTCAGTAACTGCTAGTAGTCTGTTGTTATTTATGTATTATTGTCATTTTGTTTATTTTCTTTTGTTTCCTATTCTGACATCGGACTCGGACTTCTCTTAAACTGAGTTTTACTGTGCGTACTGTTGTACGTTTGTTTTTTCTACATTAGCTAGAGGTATAGGGGGAGGGTTGAGATCTCAAAAAACATGTTTAACCCCGCCGCATTTTTGCGCCTGTCCCAAGTCAGGAGCCTCTGGCCTTTGTTAGTCTTGTATCATTTTTAATTTTAGTTTCTTGTGTATAATTTGGAGTTTAGTATGACGTCCATTATCACTGAACTAGTATACATATTTGTTTAGGGGCCAGCTGAAAGACGCCTCCGGGTGCGGGAGTTTCTCGCTGCATTGAAGACCCATTGGTGGCCTTCGGCTGTTGTCTGCTCTATGGTCGGGTTGTTGTCTCTTTGACACATTCCCCATTTCCATTCTCAATTTTATACTGTACTATTTAGCACCATAATTTTACAGAGCTAGAATTTGTACATCAAATTGTAAGTACCATTTTTTTTACTAATATAGTGTGATACTAAGAAGGTACAATAAGTATATAGTACTTTTTTTCATCATAATTAGATATGAAATTTTACTGCAAGTTGTAATAATTCAAAAGTACCTGACTGGTACAAAACAGTTGTTTTGCTCAAGTGTACCACACATTGAAAGAATAACACTGTTACTTAAAACTTGAAGTACTTCAAAGTTATATTACTAAAATGGGTCTGGATATTCCTTCATTTCTGTATTTCTTATATTTTTATGTCATTTTTTTATATTCTTTGTATATTTCCCTATTATTCTCTATTCTTTATATTTTAGCATCTTATTTTTCTCTATTCTTTAGTTTTTTGTTGTGTGTTTCTCTACTTTTTGTCCATTTTCTGTAGCATTGGCCCACCATTCTCTATTTTTTGTCCATTTTCTGTAGCATTGGCCCATCATTCTCTATTCTGTACACCCTACCCAGACCCTCATACACATGTAGCTGTGTATGACATGTACTTTGCTTATTGTTGGCGACCACACGATGACCTGTAGTTGTTTGAATCCTAGCCGTTTGGTCTCTGGTTGATAGTTGTCTCATTGGCAATCATACCACATTTCCTTATTGTTGGTGGCCCTGCGATGACCTGTAGTTGTGGAAGCACATATAATAAAAGAAACAGTCAATATTTCAAATATAATATTATTTTTTTTTATATTTTATCCTCCTTGGATCAAAATCAATCTATAAATTAAAAAGTAAATTTTGTTTAATGTGGGTATATGTTTTGCAATATGAGCGTGAAATAAATCATAAAAATAATATCAGATCTTTTGTATAGCCATCTACAGAATAGTACAAAAAATATACAAATGACCATGGAGTAGATGAAAATGGTCAAGGAGACAAATACAAAGAAAATGTATAGGCGTATTTTGTTATTCTTGAATCTGTACACTTGCTTTTATTCATAATGTACAATAGTTAGTACGAGGACTGTTTGTCAAGAGTAATAACTCCTTATCATGTGTTTTATTATATAAAAGACACTTTCTGATATATGTATATTACTAGTATATTGTCTAAATATTACATTAGTCATTTAAAAAAAAACAAAAGAAATTCCATCGAATTTATAAAATTTCAGTGATTTTGCAAAATCATTTAAACAGCTAGTGATTTTACAAAATCACTAAATCTGCAAATTTAACATATATGTTTGTATATGTATTGAAAATTTCCCTTTCAACGATAACACGGAGGGGTGTTTGGTTGTGTTGGATGTATAAATACACAGTCACAATCTGATCAAGGAGGCCAAAAGCCAATACCAATGAGTTTGCATGTTGGGAGTACATGTATATATATCAAGATCTCTTCACATAAAAGGATAATTGTAACAAATCGTGCCAAGAACTTAGTTTTGGTGACCTGCCTGACTATAGACACAATTGTACGGCAAGTTATCACTTAGAAGTCACAAAAGTAAATTCAACAATTCTTTGTTAATGGTTTCTGCTTTGATGTGTGCAGCAACATTCGAACTACCAATGACTGTGCAGCATGTTTAAATTTACAAACTCACAGTTAATCAGTCTAGTTGGGA